ATAGTTGTGCGAATAGTATGACATTATGATTACTTCTTTGGTTTAGTAACATTACTTTTTCATAATTCCTTTCTTTTTCTCATTACCAAGTGTTGTATCTTTCCAGAGTTTTATAATTTTTGTGAAACTTTCTACTTTCTAGATGCTTATCATGTTTCTTTTTGGCTTTTATAGAAGATTTAATGTAATTTATTACTTCCTGTAACCAACTCTATGTGTTTGTTACTAGGGCTGCAACGATATGGTTATCTCATGATTCAATATGGACTGCAGTTCTTTTATCATGACATGATACATATAACTGTTAGTTCGTTAGTGTAGCAAACACAGAATGATCGGTACTGCATTTATGAAGAAATATGAAATGTATTTCTTAAAATACAACAGTTGATAATCTGACACATGAACTTTACAGTAAAATTTTCAAAGGCACTGTTTAATATAATCATTCATATAAATTTCTTTCTCCATAAATGTTGCCAAAATTGCATGCCACTGTTCCAAGTAATGAGACAGCATGTCAGAACTAGAATTTCACTTACTTGGGACATCTCAAATAAACTTGTGCTGAGGAACTTTAAGCATAAGCTGATTTACTTTCAGTTTAACATTTGCTGTTTAACTTCTGTGGAAAATGGGAAATACCCTTTTTAATCACTCTAACAACTTATCCACTTAAAACACCCAAAGGCCTTTCTGAGTAGCCAAGTTAAAAGCATGTGTGAAAACAATTACATATGAGATGAAAATTCTGCCAGTTTCATCACATTACAAAAATTATTTCTGTTATCAGTTGTAACAGCTCGATTGTTATCTTTTTCAAGTCCCAAGAACATACAGCCTCCTTCAATACATCTGCCACGTGCTCAGCTATATGCATCTCATTTAACTGTCTTGCTTATAGAATGGAATTTCTCATTTTCCAATTGTAATTTATAAAATGCCCAATAATAGTAATGTACCTTTCAACAAATCTTGAAGTCCATCCATCACTGGTAATGGCAACAGAAGAAGCACCTTTAATTTCAGTGTCAAACTTGTTCTTTTCCTCTTTGTATAGGTCTGGAATTACTACAGTATGAAAGTGAGTTTTAGAAGAGACTTCATTTCTTAGTTCCAAGACCTTAAGCAGTAACATGAAGCCAGGATTATTCACCATTTAAAGTTATAATTTTCCTATACTGAAAATGTATTTCCAATAGGTAATTCTCTCTTCTCACAAGATTAGCTAATCCCATTCAGTGCTGCCCTTTATATGCAAACTTTTTTTAATGTATGCCACAAGCCTTCTGCTCCCCCTATTGGAATCTAGTTATTCCAACATGTATCTCATGCAAATCATCATGCGTCACTTCTCCACCAATGGAGTGTGACATAGTCATGTGACACGTGACTCCCTCTATACTCTTCCTCCAAACTATTACTTTGAGTTTGGCAGAAGATGGAAGCATCGATTTTCATTGGGGAGGAAGGGTGGGAAGTGTAGGAAAATTATAACTTCCGATACGGTAATTCCCTCCTCTCACACAATTAGCTATAATTCCACACTGAATAGGAGAAGGTAACAGTGTGAGGGAATGACATAAGCACCCTTCGATAGCATCTGATAGAAACCACTGGAAATGAGAGAGTCAGACCCAAAGATCTGATGAGGGAAACTGCACCAATTCTGAAAAACATACGAGATATTAGCGGAACGGTAGAGGAGAACATATAAGTGGGAGAGAACTCTGGCTGGATAGTGTGCTGAACCATATGATATGGAAGTCAATCCTCCCATATAAAATTGGGTAAACAATGAATGTGCCCCTATATTTAGAGTGGCTAGGGCGCAATGGACCATATGGATATGTCAACTAAGTCCAAAACCCTCACCACTGGAACCAACATCCACTCAAAGGTAGGATGAGGAATATATAATCTTCACCTGAAGTTCGTGAGATTGGAGCGATTTGATAACCACTCCGATACCCGAACATGGCACATGTAGTAGCATTTGATAGATCAATCTGTGAACCCAACATCCGGTAATGAAAGGATGTCTATATAAGAAAACTCAACTCCCACAACCGGGAAACTAACCAGAATCATCCCAAAGCCGAAACACCCTCAGAAAAGATATGTATCAAAGGACGGAAAAGGAAGTAACCCAGGACTGTCCACTTTCCTCAGTTGTAACCCACAACACAAAGAGTTTGATTGACGGAGAAATATAAACAACCATAAATATGTGTGAGGACTTATGCTGATTGGTTCACTCTAAATTCAACACCAAGCCACTGGGTACCAACATCCACATGGTAGAAGGATGAGGGCTCCCAATTGAAGGGGTGAGCTGCATTTTCAATGGCTCAACTCCAATGGTTGTGTAAATGGTATCAGGAGGCCATGTCATCTAGCAAGGTGACTGCTCAACTCCTCTGGAGGCCACATCTCATCTACATCAGCATAACACCATTGCCCTACTCAACTAAATGGTTATAGCCATCTTTTTGTGGAACTCATTCAAGAAGGTGCCTCCACAGTCAACCACTCCAGCAGCTGGGAACTGGAAAGTGGTAAGGACTCCCACACTCCACTAGAAGAAAGGAGGGTGAATATGTAGAGAATTGTCCAAAGGAACATCACCACCGCAGACAGTGCAATGGCTGACCACAAAACATTATTTTGAAAAGCAGACCATACCAATTTATTCAATCAAGGTATGGTAGGGATGAGCAACTATCCCATTCTGCTTGGGTGGTATGGTTCAGAATGGGCAAGTTTATGAAGCAAAAACATTGCAAGGTTATTCACCAGTGAGCATTGCAAAGCCATGGAAGAGAGTGCAATTCAACATGGCTGTACAGTGTGGATTTCAAATGAAGGATACCTGGTCAGGCACCACTTGCCAGAAAGTGGGATCTAAATAGTGACTAATGAAGCATGGGCCCCTGAATGGAAAGAAATAATGAATAGAAACTTACCCAGTTAGAGTCACACTGGTGTAGATAAGGGGAAATGAACATAATAAGTGTAGTTCTCATGCCTGAATGTACAAGTTACCTTATTGGCCGATGAAGACGAGATGCCAGGGAAAAGTTAAAGATGTCAACTCTGATGAGAAGACAGCTGGAACAAAGTCCAAGAGGAAGACAACAAAAGAGAGTAAGCCAATGGGATCAAAAGCTGAACACAACCGGTGAGAGTGGAAGGAGAAAGATCTCGATTCGAGGAAAACTGCCTACGAATAAAGAAGCAGGAGCAGGCACCACGGAAAGAAGCCATACAGACAATAGAAAAATGAAGAGAACAGACCATAAATTATGAGTCGATAAAGATGAGAAATGAAAGGAAGGGAATTACATAAAAGGATGAGTCACCTTCCCTAGCTGCCGATGTCTAGGGTAGGAAGGAAAGATCCATATAAATGAGAAAAGAGGGAATGGGAAAAATGTATGAGAAACATCATGGGAAACAAATCCAACCTCTGACATACACAGGCATAGAGGAGATGGAATTATGTTTGATGGAATGGTGAAACATGGAACATGAGGAAAGTGATAGAAACGAAGGTAAAGTGAGGGAATATCACATTAATATGCCAGGTTGGAATGGTAGGCAGTCAGGGAGGATGACTAATCCAGAAGGAACGTATGAACATTGTAACGATAGGTGAAGTAAAAAATCAGCGGTATGGGAAAAAAAATGAAGGTATGAGACAAGGCTGCCTGATAACACAAGATCAAGGGGACTGAAAATCATGATCGAAGAACCAGGGGAGAAACTCTGCCACCCGAGACACAGTGGTTCAATCTGCTGAAATCCCTGACTTGTAAATGAACTGCAGAACACTTTACATTTACAACAATAAACGTCCACCAAAGAAGAGTAAATGAAACAAGCTAAAAGAAAGCTACCTGCAGGTATAAATCCAATCTCCCCGCCACGGACTGACTAAGAGCCAAGCATGAAGACAAATGTTGTGAATGTCCAGATGGAATCTCAGTGAACTAAGTGGATGAAGAAGGTCAGGAGACAAAGGAAAAGGCAATAAAGGTAAAAGTTGGAGCTGGAGAAGTTGCAGAAACCATGGTTGAATTGGTCATTAAGGAGCAATCAGAAGGACCTAACACAGAATGGTAGGGGGTGAGGGAAATCACCCATGGAAGAAAGAGGATGTGGGATGAGCATACAGGAACCTGTGGGACCAATCCCAGCCAAAAGTCTAAACAGCCATAGTTAGAGGAAGAGGAGGAGGTATCAAATACAAAAAGGGGTAATGGGTGGTTAAGAGATGTAGTAAAGGGATCTATGTGGGTAGAATCACAGACACAGCCACCAGAAAACAAGAGAAAAACAAACTGCGATCTGAGTGAGAGCCTCCAGTACGTGACATGCAAGAATATGAATATTGTGAAAGAAGAGGAAGTGTGAACAGGTGCCTCGCATAGGAACAATGCCCCCAATAAAGGGCCAAGAGAAGAAATGGAGCAGACTGTAAAATCTTATTAATAATGAAAAGGAAAACAAACAGCAGTGTCACACCCAATACTAACCCAAAAGCAAAGAAGCCGTTATAAATGTGTGAAAAGAACACAGTATCTCCATACTAGGAACGGAGACTACATAATGAAATGAAGAAGCAAACATTTGAAACCTGGTGGAAAGAGGCTATCAAGATCTTTGTTCACCTGAACATGGTCATTTCTACAGGAGGAATTGTGGACGATAACCGAAGAAAGAGGTCAACCTTTTAAACATTCAATCTCTTGAAGGATAAACACTGATAAAAACCCTTGCCAAGTCACCCACACCTGTTAGATAGAGCTAGTCATAGGTGTGACCCCCAAAGTGGTAACATTAGATATGGAATGCGACTGAAATAAACTGGGATGAATGAAGGCAAATTTCAAACTCCAGAGAATCTGGAAGTTATAAATGAAGACCACTTTGTGAGTATACTAAATACAAACGTGAAACTGTAAAGGATAACAAAGAAATATCTGAGTACAAGTGCTGCCAAACGAGAAGTGATGGTTTGGTGGAAGAATATTGAGGGATTCACATGCGTCATGTGACTATGTCACAGTCCATTGGTGGAGAAGTGACAAATGATGAGTTGCATTAGAGACATGTTGGAATCACTAGATTCCAATAGGGTGAGCAGAAGGCTTGTGGCACACGTGTTCAAGAAAAGTTTGCATATAGATGGCAGCACTGAAAAGAAATAGCTAATCTTGTGAGAAGAGGGAATTACCGTATCAGAAGTGGTCTTGTATCTTTAACAATAGAGATTCCACAGCTCTTATCTCTTTACCCTTTGATTGTTCTTAAGATTTACTTTTGTTTTAAATGCTTCCTGAGAAGAAGTGAGAACCATGTTCTTAACTGTTTACAGAAAGTGAAACTTGTAAGAGTTTACTTTTAATTTCCTTTGTTTCTTGTATTGGAATATCACATTCTCGTGTGTGGGTGGCCATGTTTGATGTTCTTATCGTTTTATAACTGACTTTCACCTCAAACATTTTATATAATGTTTATGAACAATCAGTTTTCTTACTCTGTTTTGATCCAAAACTTCAGCACCAAAATACTTCCAAACACCAGGTTTATAGAACAAAAATGCATCCTTTATTTTACACTTCAATGAGCCTTTGTTGACACAGCACATGGGATTTGATTTACTGTTTATTTAATACTTTGATACAATCTTTTTTTTTCTTTGGTTGAAAAACATGACAGGGAAAAAACAGAGAAACAAGTATGTTATATTAAGTTCATTTTTCAAAATTTTCTTCTACAACAGTAGTTCAAAGAGACAGTTAGTGTTTATGTTTCATATGTAAGTATATCATTTATTTAATGTTACTGTCATTAAAAATATTGGTTATAGTTATACTGTATAGTAAATCAAATATCATTACATTTTATTTTGGTTTATTTTTTATTATTGTTTTGCATTGTTAGCTTAATATATGTATTTAGGACTAACCTAAATCTCCTCAGCTGATCAAATCTCATGGGATATTGGGATTATAGACAAAAATATCATTAACATCTCTGGGTGCCCAAGTGATGAAACAATGCAATACAATCATTACAAGTAGAAATGTAAAGAATGTATATTTACTTAGCTATACTGATTGCAAAGTTGAATTTTGTTTTGCTCAAAGTACATAGCTTTGTCTGATCAGAAGTTGATATTCAAATTCGATGATGAGGAACCCACTTTGAGACTAATAATGGTTGGAGATGGCTTGAATGGGTAATGAAGAAAAACTTTAATATAAGTTTAACATAACAGCAAATGTACAATGTTTCGACAAGGTTTTGTCATCATCAGGTATGTGATGATTACTAAACCTTGTCGAAACATTGTACATTTGCTGTTATGTTAAACTTATATTAAAGTTTTTCTTCATTACCCATTTAAGCCGTCTCCAACCATTAGAAGTTGATATTGTTTACTATACTTAATTCTGAAAAGTAATATATTACCTTACCTGGAGTACCTGATTGTGAAACTTTTATGGCTTTTTTCAGAGTAGATATTATGTCTCTAACTGTTGTTACAGATGCTGTAAATTTACAAAGAGATTTCAAGAGAGACATCTGGTCTATATCTTGCAGAGCACCACGTCCCTAAAAAACAAATTTTAAATAGAACAAAATTATGGAGATTGGAGCAACAAAGCCCATAATTATTATCAGAATGTGTCATGATATAGAAGACTGTTTGGTTTCAATATTAGTGAAGGTTTTGTTAATAATTAATTGGTGTCGAGAATATAGAAAGTGGCCAGACGACTATGAAATAAGATATAAATAGCGTGAGACGAGAGGGAAGCAGACAGACAGACAACAATACACAGATAATAGCAAAAGAGAATATAGCTGTGTGAAGTTATGTACCATAGATGTGATAGGCCTAATGACTGACATAGGCCTAACATTTAATATGTTAGAGTGAAACTAACAGTATAAAAAAATAAGAAGGATAATTCTATTCCATCAAAGCATGGATCTAAAATAATTTAAATAGCCTGGGTACACTTTGACAAAAGGAACAGAGGATATTCAGAAGAAAAAAGACCAAACGAATTACAGTAACTTGCATCACAATTGTAAGTGAATCACACACAGAATACTAGTACAATAGTAATATAGAGAAGATAGTTCGACTTGTCAACTGAAATTCTAAAGTAATTAAATAGGCCGAAGTGGACTTCTGACAAAAAGAGGAGGACTATACATATACTGATATAGCACTTATGATATGCTTATATTTTCTATAGTGTGAAGACTTTGTTGTACATACGTTTAACTTGTTCCGAATATATATATATATATATATATATTATTTGGAAACAAGTAAAGTGTGTGCTGTTTATTCTAACAAATCACAGACACCTACTGTAGAAAAATCCTAAGCCCAACCACAACATAGTATATATTTATACGATTAAGAAATATAAGTAAAAGCCATCTACTTCGACAATTGGCAAAAAGAAAAACTTGTATATAGATATTTTTTTTTTTAAATCTGAAAGAATGCAATAAACATACTGTTTAAATTACTTTACACGAAAACATCCTTTTTGTTTCACATTGATATGACAGAGAAAAGGAATTAATGTATGAAATATAACTCATTTACTAAACTTTTATAATGAATTTATTCAACCAGTCCCAACCACAATCTTTAATATTGACGACACCAACCACTCACTGTAAAATAAATAAGCAAAATGAAAAAAAGAAAGAAAAAAGCATGAATAATTAAGTCATAATATAATCATCACAAAAATTATTATTTTGAATTTAATATGAATTACAATTTACAGATGAGCTTAAGTTTTGTTACTAAAGCCCCTTCCTTTTGATAATCAGTTTAACAATTTTCCATAAGGAAAGAAAATAGCACCAGAATGCAAGGTTCATGATATGTACATAAATGAGATGAGTATGGTAATTTTAATAAACAGTAACCCAGAAGGAAATTTTGCAAAATTGCAGGAATATTCCAAATAAATATTTATAGCTTGAAAACAAAAATTAAAGTAATTTTTTTAAATTTTAACTGACATAAAGGTTTTTAAAAACATTAATGAAGCCAAGAATTTAAAATTAGCTCAAAATCTCAAATTTATGAACATATGTACACATACACATATATCTTTTAGAATAATAATTTATACTGTAACAAATAAAATCATAAATGTTAGGCAAAACTTGTAACTGTCATTTTGCATTTTATGGTTAGCTTTACAGTCAATTTAATCCCTATAGTTTATAATATGGTTTAGCAGTGCTTCAGACATTTTTTTTAACCAGATGTATATATTTTTAGTTGAAGTTTGTAGGTCTAAAAAATAAATTACGTTTTATTTTCCAAAACTTGTTACTTTGGTTTTCAAATTTTTCATAACAAATAAATTTATAAGAACCTATAAAGTTTTTCTACCTGAAATTCTACTGTAAGCTGTAATGTCTCTAAAATTCAATTTTTAACAAACAAAAGTTACCATTTTCCTGCACTGAAAATGTATTTCTGATAGATACTTACCTCTTCTCACTTAATAGATTTTCTTGGCTTGTGTTGCTTTCTATATGAGCAATTTTTGCTTGCCACTAGCCTTGATACTTCTACCTACCTTCACATGTTTATACATGGTATAGCTGCACTGTAGCATGCAATAAGCATGTGACAATCCTACACCAGTAGGAGTGCGACACATCCTCCTAGCGCAGCTGACTCCCTCTATACCATAGAGTACTTTCATCACTTCAAGATTAGGCAAAAGAACAAATCAGGAGTGGGGAGGACAATTTCTATGAGAAATACATTTTTAGTGTAGGAAAATGTTAACTTCCAATACAGCACCTTATACTTCTTCTCACATAATAGCGAGAACCCCACATTTAAATGGTGGAGGGACCAGTGCAAAAGATGACTCTTCAGAAGGTGTCCAAATAGAACCCCAGGGAGTACAATACCTTGGTGAACAGAATCACACCCATAGGAGACCACACCCCATCTGTACCAGGTATACTCTTTGTCCATTGTAAAGATATACATCACTAACTTGGGTGGAAATATGCATGTCCAATCTGTAAATGAATGTGCCAGATGGTAGAGTGGCTAGAGCAAGTCCAGTCCAAACCAAGATGCCATCAGGTATTTTACTTCCAGTCTGCAGTAGGAGGAGGATCCCAAGCCTAAGAATCAGAAGGGAAAATCAACTTCTGTTCTGACAACTGAGGTAAGACACATGCAAACCAGTACACATCCAACACCAGCCTTCCAGGGAACCTGACATCTGGATGATGGTAGGAATGCAAACATGGTGGGTCAACTCCATTTCAAAACCTGGCAATGTTAGGAATTTTTCATCCACTCTATGGTAGGAGGAGGGGTCCCTACCAATCACATGTGTGAGGACTTATGTTGCCTGGTCTTACACCAACATCCTGGCAGTGGTGGGATGGAGGGAAGCCAGCCAGAGAGGTGGATTTGTCCAGTTCAAAGCCAAGTACCATTAAGAATTTTTCATTCTGTACATGATGGGAGGAGAGTGCTCATCCCATCTACACCGACAGAACACCACTGCCATACTCTCAACTGAGCAATATTGGTGGTCAAACTTAGGAGGAAACCTCCATGGTCCACCATCATAGTGGATAGGAACCAGTAAGTGGTAAGGACTCTTGTATACCACTAGGAAAGGGTGGAAAATGTAGTGGGGAGTTCGGAGGAATGCTACACTATAAGTCAGTGCAATGGGTGACCACAAAAAAACCTACTTTGAAAATAGGCCAGTCCTGATTTATTCAATCAGGATTGGAGGGATGAGCAATGATCTCAACACTGCTTTACTCATGGTAGTCCATGAGTTGGTATGGTCTGGTTCTGGCCTTATTTATGAAGCAAGATACTGCAAGGTGGCCTCGAGCAGTTTTGTGGAACACACCATCTCTTCAACGAGCATTGTAGGCCTACACAAATGTATGGTGCAGATTTATGTTGAAATATACCTGGACAGGCAACACTCCCATAGTACAGGATCAAAGCAATGAGAAAGGGGCCACTGTAATGGTAAGAAGTAAGAAGAAACAACTTACCCTCTCACAAATGAAATGAAGTGTGGAAGATAACAATGGGAGACAAATGATAGCCAGATGAGGATACAGCCAAATGATGCAAGTAATGAGTTATAAAAGTATGAGGTGTGGTCCAAATGCCAGCTTGTACAATCTCTTCCAGTGGGTGACAGAAGTGGGCAGCCAGGGAGAGGGTGAGATGATGAATTTCATGAAAGGATACTTGAAAAATTTGTTGGGAATCCTCAGATAACAACTCACAAGCAAGATGAATAAATTGGTGCAGCCAACCAGTAAGGGTGACAGGAGAAAGGTCATGAGTAGAGGAAGTATTCCATGGTAAAAATAGGTGAGAACGGGATCCATGGAAGGAAGCAGTGTGGGCAACATAACAACACAAAGCACATACTGGACAAAGAAGATGATCAGGATTGGCATGGGAATACAAATGAGAGATGGAAGGGAGAGAAATAAGTATGAAGGAGATATCCTTGGGAAAAAACTATGATCCAGATAAAGAAGTCTACAGGTACAATGATAAAGGATATGGGAGATGTCAATCGCAAAGACATCAGACCTAGTGTCCACATGCAAAAAGGAGCAAGAAATATGTCTTTATTGACAGGTGGTACAATGAGCAAGTGGCAAAGATTCAAATGGATGAAAGGGTACGAGCATGAAGGACTACAATGAGATTCCAATCAGGAAGAGGTATAGAATAGGATGGATGAATAAAATGAAAGGAGTGAAACAGCAGAGAAAGAATAGGAGAGGAAAAAATGCAATGGGAGCAGGAGAAATGAAAGGCTGCACTATAGTCAGGAATGGTGGATACTGATAGACTACTGTTGATTAGCCAAGTAAAAAATCTGAAAGGTTGGAGATTATTGGGGTAAGATGGTGAGAAACCATATCACAAAGTTCAATGCTGGAAAATGTTCCATTTTCTCTAGTAAACATTCAAGGAAGAAGGGTGGACTGAACAAGACAGAAGGGAAGCTATCCATGTAGAGAGTCTGGACTGTCTCCCAAGGGACTGGACAAAAATCCACATGTGAAGCCAGAGTGTGGTGATAGCAGGATGAAATATGGCAGACAGAGTTTCTCTGAGAAGGGATTAACAAAGTGGAAGAGGTAGGGAAGGAAACGAGTGAAGAAGAGTCAGTATCGAAAGCTACAGTTTAGCAGGTCAGAATGGGGCAATGAGATGGACACAGCAAAGAATGGCTTGGCTCAAGGATAGAACAAGTGGGAGAAGACAGATAGGAGGATAGGCATAATAGTAAAGTAACATCTGGAGGCTAGAGAGATAGAAATATGAAGGTATACATCTGAGATGTTGATTTTCATCATCCAGAGACCCAGAGTAAATGCACACCAAAGTGTGAGGAAGGACTCCATGGTAAATCAGGGATGATCGATAAAACAGTTGAGTTGAAGAAGTTGATGATACGACACCCATCCCAAATTTTTGTGGGAATCACAAAAAGCTGGGAATAGAAAACTGAAGAAGGGTGATGTATTTGTTTGATAGTATTCTTGCATAAAAAAATCTTGAACCTCTTCTGAGAGATACAAGAATGAAATGGGATCCCACAGAGGTGGGAAGGAGATGGGACGAATGGATAATGGTGGGGGAATGAACGGAAATGCCTTCTGCTAGAATTTGAAGAACCCAGGGATCTGTGGCAAATGGATGCCACAGATGAACAAACTTGGCCAACCATGCCCTGGCCACACCAGAACCTATGGGATAGTCACCAATGCAAATGGCATTGGAAAACACAACAATGAGCACACTGGTGGCTTGCCACTGAAACCTGGGAAGAAGGCACTGGTAGAGGGGAGGAAGAAGGGGGGCAAGATGCATGAATTGAAGGAGAGAGTTGGAAAAGATGGAAAAATAATGAGGTAAGGGATGAATGTTGATGTGCAGCTTCCACCCTAGATTCTAATGTATCAGAAAGATTTCCAAATACAGATTGCTGCCAAAAAGGGAGCCAAATAGAGGTCTTTTAAATAGGAAGCAGAGAAACACACATGTGACAAAAGGGTGTCCCTGCCAAGAAGATCCCAACAACAAAGGAGCCATGTATGCAAAGATAAAGCTAAGGAAGATAAGTGTACCAATATGGAAACGATAAGGGTTCGAGTATATGCCGAAAACCTCTTGGGGGTAATGTTGGAGAGCTTCAGATAGGAGGTGAATGGAAGAAAGATAGTGAAGGAAAGTGGTGAGTGTAAGCCAAAGATGTGAAAACTGGACTGGGGAAAATCCTGAAGTAGTCTCCAGAACAGATCCCCACACATGAATCAAAGACTCCCAGGTCTGTAAATCCAAATACAAAAATCCAACCTTTGATAAGTTAAAGCATAGGGGTCAGATAAACATAGAGGACAAGGCATACTGGCACCCAACCATAATGGCCATAAAAATTGATCAGCATGGATTTCAATATCAGGAGAGAGGGGTAGGGACCACTAAGTAATCTGACAAAAGTGCAGAATAAAGGAGAGAGGGAGAAGAATCAAACAACACAGAGATGGGATTGCACTGCAAAGGAGGAAGATGGGAATAGGTCGTCCGAATCCTCGTCATTCTGACTTGATTGACCTAGGAACAGGATAGCCAACTATGTTTTTGGAGATATAGCAAACCGCATGAGAGTTTCCAATTCAAGATACACCATGGCCAAGACTGCCTCAGCAGAAAGTGTGGATCCTGAAACCACAGAAGCAGTAGGTGGATAAGCAGTGGCCTGATTTATGACTGAAGTCATTGTAGTGATGTTAAAGTGAATGTTCAAAATTTGGAAATTAAAAAGAAAGTATTCCACAAAAACTAAATAAAAATGAAATGACAACAAACTATGTTGTCAAAACACAATAAAGTTAACTGAAAATTACACATAAAAATGAAAAATGATGAACAAAATTGCACACTAAAATGCCAAATAGAGAAGTGATAAAAGTACTCTACAGTATAAAGAGAGCTAGCTGCACAAGGAGGGAGTGTTTCATTCCTATTGGTGGATGGTTGTCACAGGATTATTTGCATGCTACAGTGGTATAGCTGATGCATATACCATATATAAACATGTGAGTGTACGTGGGAGTATCAAGGCTAGTGGTGAGCAAAAACTGCACATACAAATGGCATTACAAGTTGAGAAAAGGTATAATGTGAGAAGAGGTATTGTAACTGATACAAATGGAGTGATTTAACACTGCTATAAAAGCACAGCTTGTTGACAAGGCAACTTGTGTAATTTACATGAAATTACTTTTAAACTGTATCAAATCCTTCTGGAGCTAGATTCCAATCCTAAACAGATAAGTCACTTATAGAGATATAACAACAAACTAACCACATGACTCAATCTCAGTGATGGTTAATTTGCTTTAAGCTTAATTACAGTATATGTAGATACAAAAATCTTATGTGAGCAACTTTACCTTTTATCTAACAGAAATGTAAAGAGTATACAATATTTGTGTCAGTGCCAGATGTCGTATTTTTATTGTAGAATAAATATACTTTTCTCAGTCCACAAAAATATTCAGTCTTACTTTAACATAATATAAAAATAATTAAGTAAAAAAAGGAAAGTAGAAAAGATCTCTCAATGTAATCATCAGTCCACACTCCTTTTCACAAATGTTTGTGCTGTGTTTGCAGATACAGATAATCAGCTGACTTCATTAAATTAAGATTTTTTTCCAAGTGTTCTCCTTTTAAGAAGCTCAGTGAAATACTTTAAATCCAAGACTGAATAATGACACAATAAAGACTTCACCACAACTGTATCTCACAACTGTCATAACTTGAAGAAGAGTAAATTTTAGAAATGTGATTAGCTCAAACAAAATTTGATATATAACTGAAATGTGCATAATTTATGGTGATTAGTTTAGCTCTCTGTTGTGGAAGAATGGGAATCAGAAGATCCTTGATGGGGTTTAAAGGCCTCTTGATGTCCCATAATATATAAATTTATAATTAAATACAGACACCTTACCAAATATGTATATTGTTGAAGATTACATGGATCTGGATTAGTTTATGTACACTACCAAGTGTGTACGACATAAAATACTGCTCCTATCTACACATTTTTCTGGTAGATAAGTAACATATGAGATCCATATTCAATATGTCTAATAATAAGAGTGCTGTCATTTTTTAAGCTCCAGAGTTAAAATAAAAAACAGTTATTTCATAAGTTCCTAACATAAAAAAATTCTGGAATTCTAAAAAGTATTGCTTTCATATTCTAAAAATTAATAAATAATAATAAAAAAACAGAATTGGAGTTAAATGATAATGAATTGTTGGGTGCTTTTATTACTTATTACTACCTTATTATTTTATTATTGGTATATTAACCTGTTATTAGAACATGCATATCTACCTAATTCAAACAATTTTCAAATTTCTGATTTGGAACATATTAAATTCAGTTAAGGCCAGGTGCAAAAGTTAGCCTGAAGTGTTACTTTTTGTAGTTGGTTTGGTTAAGGAAATTATCTACCATCTCCTGGGATAGTTCTATTAGATCCCACTTTACCTCATGTAAAAAGCTGTCACATGGAGCAGATATATATTCATATTCTTGTGATTCAGTTTTCTGATTGGTTAACTATAGATTGAATCTAAACCATGAATGCCTTTCTTGGGAAGATGCTTTTTTGCCTTAAGAAAGAACGAATAAATTTCTGTCTTGAAGGAGTCAAGACTTTCTATTGAAGTTTCATTTGTGTTTTAACTTTTGATCCACAACTTTTGCTGATCATGTGGACTGTTTACTTAAAATAAACTGTATTTAAAAGTTACTTTTCAACTAAATTTGTTACAATGCAATAGTTCTTTCCACCTAATTGTAATTAGTTCTTCTTCTGTTTTCTTCAACAAATAATGTTAATTTTTGCTTCAGCTTCACACCAAGTTTTGTTTCTTTTTTTTCCAGCAACTACAAATGATCACACTTGTCTTTCAAAATACTAGATCCAATCCTCGAATGTTTAGATGTTGCATATATCAGAAAAATGTGTGCTTGGTCTAACTTGTATTAACACAGTACTTAAAAAACAGTTTTTTGTTTTATGACTTACAAAGGATATTTTAATGCTTACATTTTAAAAATGATAAAGAAGTATGCATAATGAATTGTTTTTTAACCGCACAATTATACACTTATTCATCAGAGTACGTTTTTACTTAAATACAACTTTTATCACATAGTGACAAAGAAAGGCTGGATATACATTCAGTAAAAAAAAATCTTTTGGATGTAGCATTAAGACATAAAAACAGAAACAATCAGATACTTTCCAGAATGTATTGTAGTGCTGTATGTAATACCCATACAAGTTGTAATCTGCTTCTGATCCTAAGATACAATTGTTTGTTAACCATTAAATTTATAAAACATATTGCTTAAAATATTTCATTAAATTCATCCTTTTATTGTAAAAATACTTGTGGTAATGGTGTTAATACCACGAAACATGATAAAAAATTCTCTCTAACTTGATGCATTTTTTTAGATTAATACAACAGCAAAATACTGCATAGTAATACATTTGCAAGACAGGTAAAATTAATAATATTTTTTTAACATTAAAATAATATAAAAATATACATGTAAAACTGTAAATACAGAATGTCATACTGATTTATAAATTAAAAGTGTTAAGTATATCCAAACTCCTATTGCAAAAATACTGAGTTGATAATGGATGCAGTGAATTTTTCAATTAATTTTGGGTCAGTACGCAAACTGTGTTTAATTTTTGAGTTTTTCCATGGAATCCAAAACACAAAGTAATGTTTACAAAATGTCTATATGGCTAAAAATAAATTATTAAAATATTTTTAATACTCCAAACTTTGGGCTAACAGTACATATATTAATAGACTATCATTATAAAAACAATGTCTGACATTAACTAATATGTTATGAAGACAATATTTCTAAGCTTATCAACAAACCAGATAAAGTCTCAACTTTATGCAAATATTATTACAATAATTCAGTAGAACTATCTGTTATTTCAAAACACACATATTAAAGGTCAATAAAAAAGAAAATATTAATACTATTTACCTTCAAAATAGATGCTGATGCTCCACTTATTAGTAAAACAGGTGATTCAGCCATCTGAGCATTTTTAACAGCTGTCACAGAATTCGTCAAACCTTAAGTGTTGAAATAAATAATACATCATGGATACATCAAAAACTCTGAGATGTAATATGGCTGTCATCTTCACATATGATGGATGAACATATATGAAATCTTTAAGTCTTAGCAATACTGTAACTTTGTATTAACATACTAACCATAATATTGTTTCTCATCTGAAGATGGACTAAGCTCAGTCTAAAAACTTATGGTTATGTTTCAGTTGCAGGCCTGAAACTTTGGAGGTTGGAGGTTTTAGTTATTTAAATTAACTAGGTTAATATTTATGATGTGTTAGATGAGGTAATGTATTTTTATCAGAAACTGGGTGACTACAGGTCAGCTTAGAAAATGTAGGTTAGTCTTCAATCCATAGACTAATCGAATGATACAATCTAATCTTTACAATAAAGAATAATAATAAAAATAGATACATTATGTACGCTAAACAATAGTGTTAGCAAAAGAAATGTGTAAAGAAAGAAATATAAAGTATAACTAAACAACACAAACAACAGTGGTTTGCTTCATACACTATTATAGTGTGCTTAATTTTCTATGAATGAAAAAATGAAAATGTGACAAAAAAGAGGGTGAGACAAAAATATTTAGTGAGGATAGAGGAAACTAAGAACACGATTTAAAAAGGAAAAATTGAAAAGTAATTTGAAAACTAAAGTAGGATACAAATAGCATGAAAATGTGAATAAATATTAGAAACCCTTTTCTTAGCTTGAATGAGAAAAAAGGAAAAAAATAATATTTACAAAAATAACTGAAAAGATAATGAAGCAAGATATTTTTAATAAATTTAACATATTTATTATTATTATCCTTATTTCATTATAATTTTGATGTAATTTTAATCTTTAATTATTTCTACTGTTTCACCTTACATTATATGTGGCCCAATTTGGTTTTCATATTACTTTTGCCCCACCTAGTGGCACAGAGGTATGTCTGCAGATTTACAATGCTAGAAACTGGGTTTCAATACCCATGGTGGGCAGAGCACAGATAACCCATTGTGTAGTTTTGTGCTTAACTTGAAACAAACCAAACCAATCATATTACTTTTAAAAATTCGTTTTTAAATCATTTCTCTAGCTATCACTCTCCCCCACACTGTTATTATGTTTTTCACTCTTCCCTTTACTGCTAAAGTCTTATCTTTTGGTACAGCTGAAATCAGTCACATCTGCAACATTCCCACTGAAAAACCAACCTAAGTACTTCTTTGTCATGGTGAGTTGCAATACACTCACTACCCATTCCCAATTCATTCCTGAAGAAAAAGCCTACTTTCCAAAAGCACTGAGGTTACTAGGTTTCATGTTTTGTGAATTATAAATCACAGTAGTATAATCAGTCTGAATTTCTATGTCTTTCCAGACCAGCCATTTCTATTTGAAGAAAAAGTGTGTAAGCTAATAGCCTAAAACTTATTGGAAAAGTATTCCTTAAAATTTTGTTTATTACAGCCTAGCATACTGATATACCTTGAAGGTTATCTACTTAAATATTTCTGACAAACTGTTAGTCTGTTCATAATTAAAGGAAGTTTAAATTAAATATCTATTTGACAAAGCAACTAATTCATCAATTATATTTCATAAAGTTTAAGGAACAAGAAGATATTGTTTAGCACCATATCTTGTGTATTTCAGGGTTTACCAATTAATGGTGATGTAACTTTGTTCTCCTGAAGAAGAACAGTCAACTATTCGAAAGTACTCGAGTTTTGGGTCTTATTATAAGTCTATAAATACAAACTGTTATACCTGGTCCAGCAGTGACAGCTGCTACACCTACTGATCCAGATAGACGAGCTACAGCATCAGCTGCAAATACTGCAGTTGCCTATAAATATATAAACATCAGTATCAAAGTGATTAATTATTGATCTTCACAAACTTAAAATTCATATATCAATTACTAAATGATTGTTTATGGCAGTTCATCAGACACAGTCCGAATGTTTGATATCTAAAATATCATTTAGTTGTTTTAAAAATGGCCAGTTCCAGGATAGCCTAAAAAAGTGGCACATACATCATTACACTACTCTTAAAACTTTCAAAAAATTAAATAAGCTTCAATACCAAAAATTTGAAGATAAATGTGTCAAATTAAAAGATAGAGCACTTTAATTATAACAAAAAGATCAGTTATCAGCTTCTGAAGGTTAAAATTGCCCGTTTGCTTTTAACCCGAGACAATTAAAATAACTTCTATAAATAATTGTTTTTGAAAAAAAATCCTTTTTACATTATTATGTTTAATATATGGTTATAGTTACATAATGTATTTACAATTTTTGTCCTATACTTTTTAGATTTTTAAATATCCTTTCATTTGTTATGAAATAGCTTAATATTTTATAGTAAATAAAGATTTCAACAAATGTCTTCTGATAAACATTTTTATTCATATAGTTTTCCAAACTACTGACAAAAGTTACTACTACTTGCATTAAAAATCCAAAATGGTAACTCAATAAATTGTCATAACCCATTTTGTGCAGTAAAGGCTATCTTTTCTTAACATGCTTCATTGCCTTATATTTGCTATTTTCCAATCTTAAGATCCAATGTTAGAAACTAGTTTGACCAGATAAAGCATCCCAAGTAAAGTCAATCCTTTGTACTGAGTAGGCATCCTTTTTTATGACTTCATTCTCCTTCCAGTAATTCAAACACAACCTCATGGAAACATCATCCTTCTTCACAAGTACAGCAGGTGAAGTCCAGGAACTAGTGGTTATTTCTATTATTATGTGTTCTCTCATGGCTTCTACGACTCTGAGACCATCAGCCTGTTTTGCAACTGGAATTCATCTATCCACTTGAAGTATTAGGGCTGAACCTCCAGTATCAATCTTATGAGAGATTTATGCACACTAAGCTATAAGGTCCACTGAAGAAGGTATCTTAGTATTTTGTGAGGCAGTCATGTAATCTGTGGTGTTGATCAGTTGCAAGTCTTTCAAAGCTCCAATCATACAGCTCCTGTAAATATGGTGGTAAGCTTCCCTTATGTTAAGATTTGACATCAGACTTTCAACATTTTATTTTTAAGGTGACTACTTCTAGTTTTCTCTAATGTGGAAGTACTACTAGTACAGCTTCAGATCTTTTAATGTTCTGCCCAAAAATGAGTCACAATTGTTTTTCTGTGCTTATAGCCCTAATTATGACATCCTTATACTTCAAATCCATAACAGTTCTTCCACAGTAACCCCTCAAGACAAGCTGAAGCATTTGGTTGTACCATGTCATAGTCACAAGATCTAAAGATGTTTCTAATAAGTCCTGGTATGATTAATTCACATCTTGGTGGTAAAATAAGTACCTATCTTGTTGTTGCTGGAAGTTCAATCCCTAGTATAGTAACTGTCATGTTGTGCACAGAGATTTTTCAGTCAGATTGTGAAACTGTTGAAGCAAGCCTAACCTCACATCCTCGTTTCTGCATGAAGTCTATTATGCACTCTTCCTTGATGTCAATTACCCACATATCATGTTATGTACAGAAGCTTCTCACCATGAGGGTAACTTCAAAATTTCATCTTGCTGGATTTTATAATCACATGCTGTTTGCATCAATCTATTCTCTTGCTCCCATTTCTGGAGGCAATTTACACCTTTCATTATCAGATCAGGTCAAATAAGAGTAGCTGTAAAACCATTACTGATCAATGTGTTGTAAGGCTTCCCATCAATGAATCCACTAATTTATATACTGATTTATTTCAATAATAAACTCTTTTACAAAGAGGCAGAGGGAGTATTCTTAGCTGAACTTAACCCTTACCTCTAGCAAATTATCAGCTTCCAATGTAAGGTTAGCTCCTTGTTGTTCCTTAGGTCCATTTGGGCTTTAGAACTCATCTTCAGGATTATCATATTCTTTGTTTAAAATAATTTGTTGATTCATCACAGTCTGAACTGTAATGTTCACATTTTATAGCAATTATCTTTTTCTATTATTCTTTGAGAGCAGTTTAAATTTCATAAAGGCTTTCAATTGTAGTTCCTAGCAACATGACCAAACATGCAATTGAAACACCTACTGTCCTGTAGGTTACTTCTTCCATTATGAGTAACCAGTAGACTAATTAATCCTTTGAGTTGTTCTATACTTTCATCAGAAGTAACTGATGTTTTCACATTATTATTTGTGGATAGTTCTTTTAGTTGTGTATATGCAACTTTAGAAACTTACTTCTGATGTGACACTCCATATCTGATAATGTGGCCACTAGTGCTTTATAGTTGTTACACCTCTCTGTAGGAAAATTGTTTAATGTTGATACACCTAACCTTATACAGTATAAATCAAGTTTGAAAATGCTTAGTCTATTCAGCCTCTGAAAGCTTAGAAATTTAGCTAACAACATAGTTTAGTGTTGTTATCAACTAATCTCTCAATGAATGTAGTTAACATTCAAAGTCTTGCTTGCCTCTGTCACAAGTTTAACATTCCCATTGTTATCTGTAATAATCTACATATTTCCGTGAATGGTCCCAGTCACTGTTTTACCCACACTAAAGTACTGTATATGCCACACCATACATCAAGAGAAATGTGAACTTATAATGGGTGTTTTGGAAAATACATTAGTCAGCCTCCATTTTATTTCATTCATCATGGTAGTTTAGTACTTTGTGTGGACATTACGGAACCAAAAATATGACTTCAATTTCTTGTGACTTCCAAGATGGTGGCACTAATGAAATGATCTTTGCATTGTTCTCCTAAAAATATTTTGCAGGAAATATTCACTGATGAGGACTCTGAATTCAATTGTGAATTTTGTGATAATTCAGATCCAGATGTAGAGAATTCTGAGGAATATAGTACAGATGATGAAGATGAAAGTGACTCAAATAACAGTGATCAATCAAGTGATGTAGACACAAATGGCATAAATGCACATGCCAGTCCACATAGGCCTAATACTGGTGGTAATAATGGTGCTACAGCTGGTCCTGCACAAGCATCTGACTGTGGGCAAGGTCATCCTCCTGGTAATCAGTGCAGGAGAAATGAAAATCAGGTGGGGGACTGGACTAATGTAGACAGACCTTCATGTGCACATCAGTTCTCTGTTAATCCAGGTATAAACATACAGCCAGATAATACAGAGAGCTGCCTTCAATAGTTCAAACTGTTTATGATTGATGAACTAATAGACAATGTTGTCACACACAAATTGCTATAATGCAACATGTTTTCCAGGAACACCAAGATTTGAAAAGATATTTCCATGCTAGACAACGGAAGGATTTGACTTCTGACAAACTTTGGCTGTTTTTGACCCTTCTCTTCAACTGGGATTGTAAAAAAAGACTGAGATTCAGATGTACTTGAGTAGATATAAAAAGTAGCTATCTTTTTTTAGCCTCAGACTACAGCAAGGGATAAATTTCTACTGATATTGAAATTTCTCCAATTCAATGACAACAATACACATCCCAGAAATTGTCAAGATTTACTCTATAAAATTTGGCCAATTTATGATTACATTGTAAAAAAAAGTTCAAAACTGTATATATCCCACAGAAAAACTGTCTCCAGATGAAGAAATACTCAAGTGACAAGGTTGTGTAATATTTTGTGTTTACAGTCCATCCGCAAATTCCTATCAAATATTGGATGAAAAGGTATGTTCTTTCAGAGTCTGCTAGTGGATATGTTTGCAACTATGACCTCTACTGTGATATTGATAAAACGCTGCAACAAATCTGTCTACAAGGTATACATAAACAATTATTACAACAGTGTGATCCTATCCAAATTTTTGCTGGCAGATGAATGAAATATCCATGTGAGTGAAACTTTTAGACTGAACTGGTCTGTGGCATTATGCCAACAGAATGCAGAAAAAGTCAGGTGTTTTTTCGTTGAGATGGAGATGTATTAGTGTGGAAAGGCAAATGGCTAGTAAAAATGATCTCCACACTTCATGATCCCAGGATGGAGAACTCTGGCAAGAATGACAAAGACAACCAGCCCATTCAAAAACCAGCTTGTATGTGCTTGATTACAATAGATACATGTCCGACATTGACAAACTAGATCAAATGGCAAAATACTATCGTTGTACACAATGTGTAAAGAATAGCAACAAAGGGTAGTCCAGAAATGGCCAGATGATGCAAAAAGTGTGGAACAAAGATGTGAAGGGTCATCTACATGCCAACCCAATGAGTGAATAAGGTGAAAAATGTGATAGGAGAACAACTTGAAATGCCAACATGCATCTCCATCCAATGAAGAATATGTTAAACAGATAAGCTGTCTGACTCATCTAGTGAGAGTAATGGGAGAAAGATTGTGAGTAGATTCCACAAAAGGAAGAAGCACAGGCAAAATAACAATGATTGTATAAACAATATAGAGGAGGCAATTGCAATCCAAATGGGAATAAAAATGAGAAACAGAAGAATGCCCTATCACCATCATGCACCACAGTCTTTTTATTTAGAAAAGCATAATCCAGATAGAAAAGGATATAGGGGAAATGGAATAGAATTTGATAAGAATTGATGGTGTACACATCAGAATGCCACTTATCACATGCAAGGAGGAGGAAAAAATTAATTTTAAAGAACAGATGGTATAAGGAATAGAAAGTCAAAGGTTCAAATGTAGGTAAGGCAAGAGCATGGATAACAATATTGAGGTTCCAGTCAGACAGATTAGAAGGATGGGGAGAGCAATGGAGGTGAAAGGAATGAAAGAGCATAGTAAGGGCTGTGAATAAAAAACCTTATGGAAACAGGAATCTGGAAAGTAGCCAAAAGAAATGCCTGGTAACCAGCAATGGTTGAGATAGATAAGCTCTGGTTGAAATG